TCTGTTCCTACCTGGAGTGCATTTCTAGGTTTCTCAGGAGACTTCAAGTCCAGGCTAGATGATACCAGAGAAGAAAAACATTGTATACTAATCATCACCAGTTTGGTGGATCTTCAAATTCTGGTCTTCTTCCCCGTCTGCTTACTACCATTTACATTTATGAATCCTCAGACAGCTGCTCCACACATTCTATCTAGGATTTATACTTGCATTAAGAAGGACAGAAGAGAGTATGCTTACTCTGTCTTTTCCAGAATTAGAACCAGGTCCTACTATACTTAATTTGTGAAATAAGAAAGGAAATGTGAATGCATTCAAATTATAAATTAAAAGTTTGCCTCCAACGTTTATACTATGAACTTTTTTTTTTTTTTAAGATTTTATTTATTTATTTGACAGAGAGGGAGATAGCGAGAGCAGGAGCACAAGCAGGGCGAGTGGGAGAGGGAGAAGCAGGCTTCCCGCCGAGCAGGGAGCCCGATGTGGGACTCGATCCCAGGACCCTGGGATCATGACCTGAGCTGAAGGCAGACGCTTAACAACTAAGCCACCCAGGCACCCCATGAGCTTATCTTTTAAAACTATTTTTAATTTCCTGGAAAGTTGTTTTGTTTTTTTTAAGAGATGAACTATTGCTTTTTTTTTTTTTCACTTGAGAGTTTTCAGAAAGAAGTATAATTTCATCTCTTATATAGCTGTTAAGGTTCTTAGGGTTTAAGTAATAGCAATGGTCTCTGGCTAACTTAAACAAAAAGGAAATTCCAAGCATAGATTTTCATTAGAGGTGAGATAGGTATCTTGGGGGGTAATAGCAGAAAGCACATAGAAAGAGAAAACCAAAACTCACATTAGGAAAGAAAGGCTAAGGGCGCCTGGGTGGCTCAGATGGTTAAGCGTCTGCCTTCGGCTCAGGTCACAATCCCAGGGTCCTGGGATTGAGTCCCGCATCAGGCTCCCTGCTCCTTGGGAGCCTGCTTCTCCCTCTGCCTCTCTCTCTCTCTCTCTCTCTCTCTCTCTCTCTGTCTCTCATGAATAAATAAATAAAATCTTAAAAAAAAAAAAAAGGAAAGAAAGGCTAAGGAAGAAAACTCAGAAAAAAAACAGGCTGTTATGGGAAACAGGAATGCTCAAAAAGCTCAGACAAAGCCTTTTATTTCAAGAATTAAGGTACTTAGAGACTGTGTTTTATGCACCACCCCCCAAAATGGGGTAAGGCCCCAAAAAAGAAAAGATGCTGTTACCAAAGGTGCAGGGGAGAATGTTGCAATAATATGCCATACATGTTACTCTCTGCTGTTCTCCATGGGAACCTAACTGAGGAATCTTTGGTTATGAAGAGAAAATCAATTTGGCCTCAATATCATTAACAGCTTATAGGATCAGTTCTCAAACTTTTTAGTCTCAGGATTCCTTTATACTTTTAAATGTTAATGAGGATCCCAAAGAGCTTCTGCTTATGTGCATTATATCACCATATTAGAAATATAAAACTGAGAAAAATTTAAAATATTTATTAATTCATTAATTCATTAAAAAACAACAAACCCATTGCAGGTTAATGTAAATATAACTTTATGAAAAGTTACTATGTTTTCTAAGACAAAAGTTTAATGAGAAGGCTGGCCTTGTTTTACATTTCTGCAAATCTCCATAATATCTGACTTAATAGAAGAAAGTTGGATTCTCATATCTGCTTCTCCACTTATACTGATGTGATGTGTTGTTGTGGTTAAAGTATATTTAAAAAAAAATCCAGCCTCACACAGATAAGTTGGAAAAGGGAGGAGTATTTTAATAGACCTTTCAGAAAATTGTGGATATTCTTCTTTGACTCTACAGCAAACTTGGGCAAGTGAACTTTTCATCATCTGTTACATTAAAATCTTTTAGTCTATCTTGCATTTTAAATGGATCTTTTACCCATGAATGATTTTGTAAATTAATGCACTGGCCATTTGGAAAATATTTATTTACTGAGTTACAGAGATCTTCCAAATGTTGACACATTCGTTAAAAATATTTTTTAAATCACAGTTGTTTATAACCACCATCAATCTTATCAGAAAAGCGTAAGGATTAGGAGGCTGTCAGGTACATCAATACAAGTTTTCCAAAATTTGAATTTTTACTTGATAAAGCTTGAGTTTTAGCACTACCAGTTGTTTTCTTTGAAGTGACAAGTTCCCATTGCTCTTTTGCAAGAAAATGACTGCCAAATGCCCACACCTAAATAACCAAAATTTTCAGTTCTTTCAAGTAAAGAAAGGTGTTCCATTAAAAAAAGCATCTAGAGCAGCATGCAACTCAAGCAATCACACGAGTGACTTCCTGAAGACAACCATCATTTTATGTGGCAGAAATGCTTTAGGCAAACTTCCTACTCTGTCACAAAATACTGAAAAGATGTTTGCTCAAGGGTCTAGATTTAATAAAATTAATTTTACTGCTTTATCAAAGACATTCTTAATTGAAACTGGCTTTTATTTATTTCTTAACTGCACGTATGTGGCAAAGACTACAATGACTAGTAACCACCTCCTGGGTCATGTTAAGGCACCAGCAATTTTATCCATCAGTGCTTTTGCACCATTAGTGCAAAGTCAGTGCACTGAAAGTCAACTAATGATTTGGCACTGTCATGAAAATAGTTTTGATTCCTGAAAGGGTCCTGAAGACCTGCAGAAATCCCCACACCATATAACGAAAAGTTCTAACTTAGTAACTTATTTGATAAACTTTAACAAAAACTTAATAGACTTTTAAATGAACTGTTGTGACACTTTACAAAGCTTAAAATGCATTGAAAAGCCTCAAATAGCCTAGGCACCCCATGGTATTTTCCCGAAGATGACCATTAACAGATCCTATGACTCTAAATGAAAAATTAAAAAAATAATAATAAATTGAGGCAAGTGATATGGTATCATTTAATAACTAAGAGTTCAAGGTAATTGTAGTAGCCAGCCTCTAAGATGGCCCCCAATGATCCCCATCCCCTGCATAGTCCCATTCCACACACTAATCCATAGTTGGTCCAGTCTGTGTGACCAACAGCATATGGCAGAAGTAATGATACTTCTGAAATTGGGTTATAAAAGACTTCAGCTTTTGTCTTGGGCTCTTGTTCTCCTGGATCACATACTTTAGAGAAAGCAAGCTATCATATTGTAAGCAGCCCTGTGGAGAGGCAAGGAGTTGCAGACTCCAACCAACAGCCAGCAAGGAAAGTGAGTCCTGCTAACAACCATGTGAGTGAGCATGGGAACAGATCCTTCAGCCCCAGTGGAGTCTTGAGATGATTGCAACCCTAGCAGACAGCTTGACTACAATCTCATGAGAGACCTCAAGCCAGAAGCACTCAGCTGAACCGAACTCTTAGAAAATGAGAGACAATATTTCCTGTTTTAAGCTGCTAGATTTGGGGGTAATTTGGTACACAGCAGTAACAGTAATATGGTAAGTATAACAAGAAATCTGGTACATGATGGAAAATGGAAAAGCAGAAGGGAGTCAACATTAAGAGTACGGTTGACTATTTTAAAAGAATTTAGACTTCGCTAACAGATTTTTTCATAAGGAAGTCCCCCAAATGAGACCAATAAACTTAAATAATAAATAATAATAAATTAACAAGTATACAGATGAAAGTCCACAAGACTCTTCCAGAAGAGGGGACAGAGACAAATCTATAGCTTTTCTGTTCTGAAGGAGATGCACTTCTGAATCAGCTACCTACTTAAAAGGAATTACATGAATTACTTTGAAATGGTACCCTTTCCTGCCCAGTTTTTTTTCAAGATTTTATTTTTATGTAATCTCTATACCCAACGTGGGGCTCGACCTCACAACCCCGAGATCAAGAGTTGCATGCTCCACCAACAGAGCCATTTCTTCCCATTCAAAAGATCCTTAGCTCTTCTGAAAGGAGGCATGGATTTCTCCTCCTTTGCTAATATGTCTTTTCTGGCATTTTCCCTCCAACACAAACCTGACCTACCTATACTAAAAATCTATTATTGGAGTTATTCCTCTTTGGAATTTGGATTACCTGAGCATTCTTTCCAAGACTGAAAGTAGTTCCTGCCCAAGGTCCTTGACTGAATAAATATCTGCACCTCCCACCCACTAGTTATTTTTTTAGCAGGGTACCTAAGTACCCAGCACACAGCTAAGGGACAGAAAGTCTTCCTTGCTAAGCAAAGTTTTATCCTCCCACCCCCATGTCAGATACCATCTTTTTAGGGGATGCTCTTTTCTTACCAGTTTCCTTACTTTCCACTACCAAGGCAATGCTGAGCTGTTGTTCTTCAGGCCCCACCTCTACATCTGCTTCCACACCCCAGCCTTCGTTACTGAGAAAGAAAAAGCTTTTTCTGACTGGATCCCATTGCCAGTCATGTTTTAAATAAAAATAAGTTCTACTACTTGAAGCTACCTGAGCCATGACACACAGTCCCAAGTTCCTAGACACTCCAGTAGCTTTTTACTTGTCAAGAACACTGGCTGTGCCAGCCTTCTACCATTACTGTTTTTCTAACTGGCTGATGATTGTCCTAGCATCTTTAATTCTGTGTGTTCAAAGGGAATGTTCCTTTTCAAAGTCAGTCCCACATTTCCCAAGGCCCCAGCTATCCTCTTTGGTTTATTATAAACAAGGATGACCAAAACCTAGACCAGTTGCTTCTAGCCCTTTAACAATGCTCCTGAATGGTGTAATAACCTCCAAAATGTCAGTCCTCAATGTCAACCCGGTTCTTGTGTATTGTGGCCTCTCCTGCCAAGGCCACAAGGAACACTACCAAAATCACAAAAGCAACATACCTGCCATTAATACTTTCCAAGCCTGGCCTGGTTAGAAGTCACTTGAAGAGATGTAACATCTGTATGTGTCTGTTGGAGTGTGCTCACTTGCTCTCTCCATCCCCACACAGAAAAGATAAGCATTTTATCCTCAAAGACATCTGATTTTTGTCAAAAGAAAAAGAAAAATAGAGCCTTACAGCCTCCTTGACCAGTTTTCTACTGGATTCGACCACTGCCTCTGTCAGTGTAAATTCCGTTTTAATCATCTCCAGCACATTGATAGCTGACTCCAGTGGTGTGAGCTCAGCCTCCATATCAAAGGAACAGTCTAGGACAAAGAGCACAGTTTTCGCTTTAAGCTATTTTTATAAGGAGCAAAAACATGTCCAAAAATACACATTTATCAGAAAAGACACATGTAAATATAGAAAGATTTGCATTTAATTTTCTAACATACTGGCTACAAGCTTACAAACATGTTAGGAGTTCAAATTCAAACCAGTGAATCTGAAGTGACTATTTTTTAATAATTTCAAAAACAAGTAAAAATTTATTTTTTAACACATGCATTTGCATCTCAAATTTCAGGATACACACATTCTCCTCAGATACATGCGACCAGAAACTGAAGACAGTTTTGCTAAACAGCTCTTAAGTTCAATTAAAAGAAAAAAAGTGCTTATACTCTGAAAAACATTCTACTATGGGGGAAAATTTGGCCTTCTTAATATAACTCACTAGATCGCAGCAAAGTTGGGGCAAACAAGGAACAGGTGGGACGAAATAAAAAACAGAAAAGTAGCCAAGAGAATCTTAACTGGAGAAAGCTAGACCCAAAGAACAGATTCATTCTAGAAGAAAAAAGACCACTGTGATCGAAACATAGTAGTGCACCTTAACCCCGAATCCTTCAGTTCCGGACATAAGTTGGAAAACAACAACGTAACCATAAATAAGCCCAGAGAAGAATACAGAAACTGCCATACCTAAATTTTCCCCTTCTTCGATGCGCGACAGACACTGCATAACCCGCAGCAGCCGGGACACGGTATGCTCCTTCCCCAGGGGCCTGACAAGCAAAGCTGGGAAAGAAGACATCGTTGGCTCGACGATCCCCCCAGCGCCTCCCCCGGGGCCCACAGATCCCCTTCTCCAGCCAGCCCCCTTCCCCAGGTCCGGCCCTCACCCTGCATGATGTCCCGGATCTGCCTGAAGTCCCCGTACCGGCTACCCCGAAAGGCCCGCAGCGCCTCGTGGAAGTAGAACTTGAGCACCCAGCGGTTGACCGCCTCCTCCAGCCGTGCCTCCCCCGCTCCCCGCTCCGTGGCGCCCCCCAGCCCCGGCTCCTGGCGCCCCCGCCGAGCCCGCCCGCCGCTGCGGGACGCCCGCCGGCCTGCCACCCGCCCGCTGCCGTCGCTGCTCCCGCCTCCTCCCGCCATCGCGTCCGATCGCCGCGCGCCCTCCCCGCCTTCCCGGCCGGGCCGCTTCTTCGACTGTGACGCCTCCGGGTCACGTACGACGCCCGGGCCGGAAGCGGGGCTTGCCGTCCCGGCTCCCGCGGCCATGACACGGACGGTGTTCCTAGCAGCCCGCGGGCTTCTGGGAGGGAAAAGACCGTGCATCCCTAACCCCGTCTCGGACCCCGTAGTTCCCGATGTGCAGGCCGCAATGCTTGCTGGGGCTTGAAGTCCAAGCCGTCTAGGCGGGTGAACCAAGCGGGTTTGCGGTTAAGTGTCGACTTCCCTTCGGAGTTATGGAACGCTATAAGATACTGGGACTACGTATAAGATATTGAAAAAGAAATACGTGCAGTTTATTAAACACAAAATTGTGAAATGTAACACACATTTTATAAAAGAAAGTTTATTAAACAGATTTACATTTTTAAACAAATTGTTTTTTTAACAAATAATTTAAAACAAAGGCCAGTGTAAACCCAATCGAGGTCAAGAAATAGATTATGACCGGCACCCGAGAAACCTCTAGACATATAAGACATATAATTTTTTAATCACAAAAGTGACATGTTAGAAAAAAAATAAGCAAAAGGATTCACATTTAAATCACCCATAATCCCACAGGAAAGAATAATTTGACGTGCAGTTTTATAGCTTTCCAGTGTCTTTCGTACATATTGTGTGTGCGTGTATGTGTGTACATATATATATTTTTTACTAAAAACGGTGTTATATATATTTTATATAATCATTTTTCATTTAACATATAACAAACATCTTTCCATGCCATTAAATATTTTTTCCGCAGTATCTTTAACAGCTACATAGCTGTTAATGTATGGGTGAAAACCAAAGTTTTCATCATTTAAGCCCCTACTATAAGATGTTTAGGTTATTTCAAAATTTTCTAATTTTAGACAATCTCAATATTAGAAACACACTTTTAACAGTATAGTTGCACAAATTTATAATTATTTCCTTAGGATCCTTTCCTTAAAGCGGAATTAGTCAAAGGATACACAGTAGAACACATATCAAAATATTTCACTTGTGGGCGCCTGGGTGGCTCAGTTGGTTAAGCGACTGCCTTCGGCTCAGGTCATGATCCTGGAGTCCCGGGATCGAGTCCCGCATCGGGCTCCCCGCTCAGTGGGGAGTCTGCTTCTCCCTCTGGCCCTCTTCCCTCTCGTGCTCTCTATCTCTCATTCTCTCTCTCTCTCTCTCTCAAATAAATAAATTAAAAAAAATATTTCACTTGTTACTCTTTGGCAGTTCCCTTTTGCTTTTGAACAGTTGCGGATGCCTTAACATGATGTTTAAAGCTTGAAGAGGTTGCCTATTTGTCAACATCATTTTGTGCTCAAGTGTGTGTATGAACAACTTCTGTCATTTCCTTTTCACCTGCTACTCAGTCGGCATGGAGCCATTATCTTGTCTATTCTAGCCTAAGTCCTTCTTGTCCTTCAAGCCTCATTTAAGAGAATTTCAACCTTTCTTGACTTTCTGGGCAGGGTTAAACCCCCTGTTGCGCCCTCCTTAGCATCTAATATTTCATCCTTCCTAAAATACATTATCTAGAGTTAGCTGCTTTGGGAAGCGGACACCCTGTCTGCTTGTCCACCCTACATCCTGGAACCTAGCCCAGGGCCTGACATATTTCTTGACGTTGGAGTTGACTAGGCACACGAGAAAGGCTTTTGATAACACATTGAAAAACCATACCACCAGCAAATTTTATTTACTGCAATTTAATTTCATGCCTACCAGCAAACCATATTTATTGAAATAGGAACATTCTTATTCATTAAGGCTGCCTCCCATTTCTTGTGTATTTGTGTCGTGATTTTCTAGATACAGAACAGCTGACTACATAATTTTAGGACTGTACAGGATATCTTCCCTGAGTTCTTTTCTCCTTTTCTGTCCTTGTAGATCAGACTGGAGAGGACTTCAAAAAAAAAAAAAAAATCATGGTCCTTCTCTCCTTCTCCAGGTTCTCTTCTTGTCCAACTCCACTTCCAAATCCACTTTCAGCCCTCGCCTTGCTGGGCACATTCCTGAACCTTACACTTACTTCTTCTTCTTCTTTTTCATTTCTGTGATGGGTTTGCCACATAGACCTTGGAGAGTCAATTCCCATTCCTTCATTGGGTGCATCATTGTCCGTATCTTCCACAGGTGGGGGAATGAATGAACAAGGAGAATTTCCAGACGACTGAGTGGGCCTGGAGTCGGTGTAGGAAGGAAGTGGGGACATAGGATATGAATCACGTATAGGTATCTTTGATGCTCTTGGAATTCACCACCCAGCACCTGGACCAAATAGAGAAATCCTGGTTGTGGGAGTGGTGTGCCACCTCTCTGAGAGGTTCAGTAACTGGTTGAGCGTAAAAGACTTTTCTACCTGCCTCACTGGATTAGAACCAGCAGAGATCCAGTTTGGGGCTATTAATGGACAACTCAGGAGGGCAAGTAGCAGCATCACTGAGGTTGTGAAATCACATGCTAGACCCTTGAATTAGTTAGGCAAAGATCTGAGTCTGTATAGCATCCTGTTTTTTCAAAATCTCTATGTTGTGGACATTCCAGAAGAGGGAGAGGCCTCTAAGTCTGACAGATCTTTGGTGATTTTGGCTGCTTTGCCATCCCAGCCTGCCTGTCTTAACCAGAAGCCAAATTACCTGCCTCACATTCTGACGCTTCTGCTTGTTAGCCATGTAAACTTGAGCAAATTACTAAACCGTTGGGGAGACTGCGTGGCTCAGTCAGTTGAGCATCTGACTCTTGATTTAGGTTCAGGTCATGATCTCATGGTCCTGGGACCGAGCCTTGAGCCCTGCGTTGGGCTCTGAGCTCACTGTGGAGTCTGCTTGCCCTTCTCCCTCTGCTCCTCCCCCTGCTTGAGTGTGTGCACGCTCTCTCTCAAATAAATAAATTTTAAAAAATGCTTAACCATCTCTCTCCTACTTCTGTTTTCTTATCTGTCAAGCCCAAATAACAGAGGTGCCTCATGGGGATTGTATGAAAATTAAGTGAGTTACTATTTCCAGTGTCCTTCGTGGAGGGCTTGGCTGGTTGTATGGGCTCAGTAAGTGTAAGCTATTTCTATGAGCTCATCCACTATCTGTCTGAAAAGTCTTTCCTCCTCTTTTCTATCAAAAATTCTCATTTTTCCTTTTCTTTTTAAATTAAGTTATAACTTACATAAAGTGCATAAATATTAAGTGTAAAACTTGTTGAGTTTTCTCCTCATTTTTCAAAGCCCCACCATCATATGATTGTCACGACATCACTCTTTACTCACCACAAACACCCCAGCTCTGAGTTAAGGATTCTGCTTTGAGGAACTTCAGTGCTTCCTGCCCTCCCTCTGGACACCAGCAGGAGGCAGGGTGGTATAGGGGAAAAGCTACAGTCAGCAAGTTAATGATCAGCAAGTTAGTGATCAGGCTTTTCCTGGCCTAAAAATTTACTGGCTTGGGTAAGAACTTAACTTCTAAGGATCTTGTTTCCCCTACCTGCTAAAGAGTACAGATTACCAAATGGACACTTCATAGGGTTGTAGTGAAGATGAAATGAGATAAGGCCTGTAAACAATGCCTGATATATGTTAATTAAGTTAGCAAGTCTAGAAAAAAAAAATGCCCAGTGTGAGGGAGGGTGCTGTGAAACAAGCACTTTCAGCCAGTGCTGCTGAAAGGGTCAATCTATAAAACCTTTCCAGGGAGCAATTCAGGAAAACAAAACAAAATAAAACCAAATAAAAAAAACAAGAGCCATAAAACTTCCATTGTTTAGAAATTCATTCTATGGAAACAATTGTAAATGAGCACCAAGATTTAAGTGCAAGGATTTTCATCACAGCATTACTTACAGTGTACATTAGAACTAGAAAGAGCCAATAATAAGATTATTAAATAAGTCATGGTGTGTTCATAGTAAGGAATTTTATTCTGTGATACAAATTTTGCCCCCCCATAAAATAAATAATTATGTACTCAAAGATTACTTCATGCTCAAGATAAAATAACACAAAAGTGATAGAAACATATAATGTGACCACACATTTATGGAAGTTATAATTTGTAAAATACTTTTTTTTTAAGATTTTATTGATTTGTTTGACAGAGAGAGACACAGTGAGAGAGGGAACACAAGCAGGGGGAGTGGAAAAGGGAGAAGCAGGCTTCCTGCGGAGCAGGGAGCCTGACGCGGGGCTTGATCCCAGGACGATCCCAGGGCCCTGGGATCATGACCTGAGCCGAAGGCAGACGCTTAACAACTGAGCCACCCAGGTGCCCCTGTAAAATACTTTCTTGAGCATTTACTATTTATCACTTACCATGCTACGGTAATTAAATGCTATTATTTCATTTAATCTTCATCAAAATCCTTCAAAAAATGTATCATTATGCCAGTTTTACAGATGAATAAACTGAGGATTATTCAGTTTATTAGGAGGTTAAGTGACTTGTCCAAGACATTATAATGAATTTATGTCTGAGTCTGATTTTAAATCCAGATCTATTTGTATTAACCAAGATAGAACAACAAGAGATTTCAAATTTGTTCTTCCTTAGACCTTTCTGTATTTTCCTAATTTTCTACAGTGAGTAGAGGGAAAAGGTCCCCAATAAATGTTGTGCTTTATGAAACCTTACCATGATTCCTGACTCGAAAGAGGATGAAGAAAGCTGCATAGCCTAATTGCACTACTGGGTATTTACCACAAAGATACAAATGTAGGGATCCGAAGGGGTACGTGCACCCCAATGTTTATAGCAGCAATGTCCACAATAGCCAAACTGTGGAAAGAGCCAAGATGTCCATCGACAGATGAATGGATAAAGAAGATGTGGTATATATACACAATGGAATATTATGCAGCCATCAAAAGGAATGAGATCTTGCCATTTGCAACGACGTGGATGGAACTGGAGGGTGTTATGCTGAGTGAAATAAGTCAATCAGGGAAAGACATGTATCATATGACCTCACTGATAGGAGGAATTCTTAATCTCAGGAAACAAACTGAGGGTTGCTGGAGTGGTGGGGGGTGGGAGGGATTGGGTGGCTGGGTGATAGACATTGGGGAGGGTATGTGCTATGGTGAGCACTGTGAATTGTACAAGACTGATGAATCACGGATCTGTACTTCTGAAACAAATAATGC